CGCAGTCGCCGGCGTGGCAGGGCCGCTCGCACGCGTGGCTGCCTGCGGGGTCGCGGTCGCCGCGGCGACGACGATGACGTCGTCGTCGCGCGGCGCCGCGGCCGCCGGCGTCGCCGCCGCGGCCGCCGCCGCCACCGCCGTTGTCGTCGTCGTCATCGTCGTCGTCGTCGTCGCCGCCGGCGCCGCCGCCGCCGTCGTCGTCGTCGTCGTCGTCGTCGTCGTCGTCGTCGTCTTTGTCGTCGTCGTCGTCGCGGCGGTGGAGACGGCAGCGGCGACAGTGACCACGACGGAAAACACCGCCTCAGCAAGTTCAGCAAACAATTCAGGACGGGTCGAATCCCAATTTTCGGGACGGCATTTCCGAACGGCCATGACCCATTCTGCAGAATGCGCAGCGCAAGCAACTGCGCGCGCCCAATCCTTGAACAAATACTGCAGCAAAGCATCCGAATAGCAACAAAGGTGGCCAATGGGATCTGTGAGACCTGCGGAACGTGTGGGACCTGCTGGACCTGCGAGCCCTGTGGGACCAACGGGGCGGGGGGTCTTGTGGGAGATGTGTGACCTGTGAGACTTGCGGGACCACCCTACGGGACCTCTTGGACTTGTGGGGCCTGCGGGAGGTGCGAGACCTACGATACGTGCGAGATCTGCGTAACGTGGGGGACCTGTGGCACATTTGGGACCTGCAAGACCTTCAAGACCTGTACGACCGGGCCAAATGGACCTGCGTGGGACCTATGAGGCATGTGGGACCTACCTGCGAGACCTGCGGGACCTGCGCGAGCTGTGGGCTGTGGGACATGTGGTATTTGTGGGACCTGCACCTGTGGGACCTGCGAGACCAGTGGGGCCTATGGAACCCAGTGGCACCTGCCAGACCTGCGAAATCTGCGAGACCTGTGGGACCTCCGAGATTGTCGGACCTTGCGGGACTTGTCAGATGTGGGTCACCAATGGTACTTGTGGGCTATGTGGGGCCTCAGGGCCTGCGGGACCAGGGGGTCTTGTGGGACCTCTGGGACCTGCGAAACGTGTGGGGCTTGCGGGATCTGTGAAACCTGTGAGACCGCGAAACCTGCGAGGCCTGCGACATCTGCGAGACCTGTGGGATCCGTGGGACCTGTGGGACCTGTGGGGCGCGCGGGACCTTTGGGGGGCATGTGACCGCCGAAGGGCCCACGTAAGGCTTGTAATTCTCGGACCGCTGGGCACTAAAGTAAGGACCTTGCTTGAACCCCCAGAATGCTTGAGTAAACCTGGTAAATCGGCACAAATCTCGCGCGTTGGGGCCATCGAAGCCCCCCCGGGGAGTGTTACGGAACCCAAGGAGTTTCCTGACGTCCACCATGTGTCGCCACGCTGGTTGTTTTGAACGCGCCCAGGTAGACGAAGCCGGGACCTCGGCAAACCTCACTGACAACCCTGCGCCCGAGGCGGAATATTCCTTGGTACTTGAGGCGCCTTCCTCAAGACGGACGGCCGAGCGTCGGAACAAATGGCGCGGCGAAGTGCTTTCTTGGAGCGGAATGGCCCAAAGTTCAAGCGTCCTGGCGCGGCCGTCGGAGCCCCCCAGCAGGCCACCCCGCCTTGAAATGGTCTGCCAAGACCTGGAAACGACACTGCTGCCATTGCCGCCCCAGCTGCACTGCATTCGGTGATCCGCAAGCGAAACACGAGGAAGACGGCACACGGAGACCCCCCAGGCGATTCACGACGGCCATAGATGGCCCTGATGGCCCTGATGTGTCCCGTAGATCCCCAGTACGGCCCGAGAGTGTCGCAAGGGGCCCACAAGACAACCCAATAGGACCCACAAGCAACCCCAATATGGCCCGAGAGTGCCACACGAGAGCCCCGAGAGAGGCAATAGTAAAAGAAGGGTCGTGAGGTGGAACCGGTGGGGAAAGAGTGACATCAATGGGACGGGGGGGGGGGGGGCGACGACGGAGACAAAGGAGCACGCCCCGAATGGACGCGGGAAAGCGCGTCACATGTTGCCGGTCTTTCATTCAGAATAATTTGTCGACGGTCCCGAAGAGCCCGGGAAGGGCCCCCAGAGGCCGAAAATGGCGAAACACCTCCCGTCGCATTTGTTTCACAACGCGAGGAGGTCTGGGCTGGCGGTGCTCAAGAACTCGCCAATCCGAGTGTTGCACAGTCGCGATGCGCCGGATTTCCCGCAAGCAGATCGGCACACAGTAGGGGCCCGACCAAAAGAAACCTTCCACAAGAAACCCAACCCTGAGACCCCAGTCCATCGATTTTTCGTGTGGGAACGTCACGCTTTCCATAGCAAGGCCATCGAAACCCAAGACACCACCCAGGGCACCCGGGAGGCAAGCAGGACGTTTCTTGGCATTGGGTCTGCACTGTAACGCTACCGCGATATTCTCCACGCGCGACCGCGATCTGCACGCGTAGGATCTGCCAGCGCAGCCGCGCCCTCCGCGGGCCCACCGGGCCCTCCACTTGAGGATCCTCCGCCTCCTTCTCCTCCTCCTCCGCCTCCTCTTCCTCCTCCTCCTCCTCCTCCTCCTCCTCCTCCTCCTCCTCCGCCTCCTCCTCCTCCTCCTCCTCTTCCTCCTCCTCCTCCTCCTCCTCCTCCTCCTCCTCCTCCTCCTCCTCGCGCGCGATGCAAAAGCAGCAATCGCACAGAGCGAATGGAGGAGGGGGGTGGCAGCAAGAAGAGTTCGGGTGAGAGGAAAACAACAGAGAAGAACAACTCCCCACAACAGCTTGGCACGGGCAGGCGCGAGACGAACAACACGGAACGGCATTCCACAACACCGGCGGGCCGCGAAACCTGGAAGAAAAAGGGCGGGGATCCCGCGCACCCAGAAGGAACAGACTTAGCGGCCTGCCAAGCGCTACTAGAGGCGCCGTCACGCAGAGCTGGCACGCGCAAAGGGCGCGACGCGCCGCAGAATACATAGTGATGCAATGCCGCAAGATCCACCTGGCTACTAATTCGAATTACCTTGAACAACGCGCACGCGTGCGTCGTGACTCGCGGGCAACGCCGCGTATCGCCACTCGGCCTCGCGCGAACACATCGCGAGGAACCGCTACGGCTCTACGGGAAAGACGTTGTGAGCGGCGAGACCGCAACCTTACAAGCAACCACTGCATGTGAAAGAGGAGCCCTTGCCAACAGCCCAACAACTAAAACAAATATGCACCCAACAACTAAAGGGGAATATGCACATACGACACAAAACAAACGCCCTCACTTTCCTGATGCGGTGGTTTCTTGCGCGGTCAGACAGCGCGGAGGCGGGGACAAGCAGGAGGGGGTGATGACAAGCTGGGTGCGCTCTCGCCACATCTGACATCCCACCCGTCCCACCCAATTCCTTCCCGTCGCGTCGAGTCCTCTTCTTTGTGCCGACTGGGGTGCTCTAGAAGACCTTGATCCCCAAAAACACTTTGCAAGGTTTGACACATTTGTTGCTACCGGGCGTTACCGGGGCCCCGTGGACCGCTCGGTTGGCGGAGGTGGCGGTTCTTCTTGACGGCGAGCGAGGGGAGGAAGAGGGGGGGAGTAGGAGGAGGAGGAGGAGGAGGAGGAGGAGGAGGAGGAGGAGGAGGAGGAGGAGGAGGAGGAGGAGGAGGAGGAGGAGAGGAGGAGGAGGAGGAGGAGGAGGAGGAGGGGGAGGAGGAGGAGGGGAGGAGGAACGAGGAAAGAAGTGAGGAGGCAATGGAGGGGAGGAGGAGGGCGTGGAGGAGGAACAGGGAGAAGCCCTCGACCTCGTCGTCGCCAGCGATCTGCAGAGCAAGCCACGGGGGCCGAAGCGGAATCCCAAACACCCTCCCGCCGTGCTCTCCTCGCCACGCACTCGTCCCCCTTCGTCCCCGCCCTCCTCGCCCTCCTCGCCATCCTCCTCGCCCTCCTCGCGCTTCCCGCGGTCTGCCTCGTCCTCCTCTCGGGTGCTGGAATAGAGGGTGCCCCTGGCCCAGGGCGTCCGCAGGATCACCCGTGGGGGCTCCCGCGGCCTCGAGAGCAGCCCCCCCGCGAGGCCCAGATGGCCAGGGGCCGGCCCCGGCAAGGTGCGAAAAGCCCCGGGGGGGCCGAGGGGCTCCTCCTGCCAGGAGCCCCATCTGGATTCTTGCTCTCGCGTTCTTCCTCGTCCTCGTCCCCCTCGTCCCAGCCCTCGTCCTCCTCGTCCTCTGCCTCCTCGTCGTGATTTTCTCATCACGCCCTCCTCCTCCTCCTCGCCCTCTTCCTCGGCCTCCCGGTTTTCCTTACGCTCGCCCTTCTTCCTGGTCGCTGTCCTCGTCTTCGCGCCCGCCCCCCTCGCCCTTTGAGCTCCGATGCCATGGATTGTTCAGTGCGGGGTCCCTGGACGCCCCGGCCCTGGCCCGCGCTTTTCATCCCGACTGGTTTCGTGACGGCCCCAAGGCCTGGCACGCCCCCCCAGGGCGCGAACACGGCTTGAAATATGCGTCTTGTGCCGTTGTCGAGACGTTGGATGTCTAGGCCTGAGTGGGCCACGGAAGCGGCAGGGCCGTTCGTGCCGTGTTCGAAGCTCCTGCTCTGGACCATGAGAACGGCCGAAAAATGGCCCCCGGAAACGGCAAGCGAAAATGGCTCCGGGATTGGAACTGGCACCGGCACCAAAAAAAACATAAACACTGGCGACGGAACCAGGAAACAAGAAACACAGCGCCAGAACTGGCAACAAAGACGGCAAAAACGGAACTGGGAGCAAGAACGGCCCTGCCGCTCAGGTCTTGGCCCTCCTCCTCCTCGGCTTAGGTCGGGCATGTCCCCCTACAGGCGGACTTTGGAAGAAGGCTGAAACATATTCAACAACATACTCGAAGAAAGTCAAAAAGTCGCCTCCAGAAGATTCTCGGGTACGTTTTTTTTTTTTTTTTTTTTTTTTTTTTTTTTTTTTTTTTTTTTTTTTTTTTTTTTTTTTTTTTTTTTTTTTTTTTTTTTTTTTTTTTTTTATATATATTTTTTTTGTTTTTTCCTATATTTCTCCTGTAGAGGATCATGCCCGATTCAAACTCAGGCCTGGGCCCTCCCCCTCCTCGGCCCGGCGCGGCGGCGGGCGATCGCCGCAGCGCAGCGCCCGGCCGCAGACGCCCGCGCAGGCGAAGCCGCCCTGGCCGCAGGTGCCCTGGCGCTGCTCGGCGCCGCAGTGGCAGCGCTGGAGCTGCGTTTCTCTCTGCTGCTGGCGGCGCGCGCACGCCAAAGACCCAGACCCCCCCTCCCCTCGCCCTCCCCCTCCCACTCCTCCTCCTCCCCTTCTCTCCTTCTCCTCCCACTCTCCTTCCCTCCTCCCCTCCCCCTCCTTCTCATCCTCTCTCTGCCACAGGGCGCTCCGAGGATGGCAAGAAGGTGTTTGTCTCTGCTGCTGGCTGCGCGCATACTCAGCGCACGGTGTCGGCGGGATCCAGACTCCCTTGAGTCATGAAAAAATCAAGAGGGCTAATTTTTCGCCGTGTTCGGCCTCCCGGGATCCTCACCGGGCCTCGGGCCCGGAAAAAAACGACTCGGGATGATAAACCGGCATCTGGGAATAGGTCGAAACCTCTGGGGGTCGACGCCATGAAGAAATCATGACGTCGGGGGTCTGGGGCACTCAGCGCACGGTGCCGGCTGCACGCAAGAGTGACTCCAGGCAAGAGTCAGGCGTCGCTCCTAGCTGGTCCCTCTTGCAGCTGGTCGCTCGTCACTCCTGGCCGATCGCTCGTATAGCTGGCCCTACAGCCGCGCACGAACGGTCACTCTTGAAGAGTCGCCTTTCGTGCGCGGCTGTGGGGGGCCGCGAATGGGCCAACTCCAAACGCGCGCCAGCGGTTTGGGGGACCCCTGTGTGCTGGCATCCGACGTCGCTCCCGCGGAGGGCACTCTGCGCATAGACCGCGGAGAGGCAGTGGCGCCAGGGTCGTCGAGCAGGGACCAACCGTCCCTGCGTTCCTGTAGGGGTCTACCACGACATGTTCTCAAACCAAGGAATGCTATGGTAACAAACATTGTCCTGGCGAAGGACCGAACCATATGCAGCTGTGAGTGCCGCAGGCAGTCGTGGGTATCGTCTTCGACGGAGCTCCTTGTGTGTGTGGGGGGTGGGGGGTGGGGGGGGGCAAAACGTGTGAGGGGTGCGCCAAAGAGGGGTGCCGGCGGCACGCGGGCGCTGCCACTGCCACTAGGGCCTTCGGTGGAGCACCCTATGGGGCCAAGAAGCGTGTGAGGGGTGCGCCGAAATTGAAGTGGAACTGCATGCGGACCCTGCCATTGGGGCCTTCGGTGGAGCACCTATGGGGCCACGAAACGTGTGAGGGGTGCGCCGAAATGGAGGTGGAACTGCATGCGGACCCTGCCACTGCGGCATTCGGTGAAGCACCCGATGGGGCCACGAAGCGTGTGAGGGGTGCGCCGAAATACGGGTGGAACTGCATGCGGATCCTGCCGCCCAGGCCTTCGGTGGAGCACCCCATGGAGCCACGAATCGTGTGAGGGGTGCGCCGAAATGGAGGTGCAACTGCATGCGCACCCTATCACTGGGGTCTTCGGTGGGGCACCCTATGGGACCACGAAACGTGCGAGGGGTGCGCCGAAACGGGGGTGGAACTGGAGCACCCTATGGGGCCACAAAAAATGTCAGGGGTGCGCCGCAATGGAGGTGCAACTGCATGCGGACCCTGCCACGGGGGTCTTCGGTCGAGCACCATATGGGGCCAGGGGTGCGCCGAAATTGAAGTGGAACTGCATGCGGACCCTGCCACTGGGGCCTTCGGTGAAGCACCCTATGGGGCCACGAAGCGTGCGAGGGGTGCGCCGAAATGGGGGTAGAACTGCATGCGGACCCTGCTGCTGGGGCCTTTGGTGGAGCACCCTATGGGGCCACGAAGCGTGTGAGGGGTGCTCCGAAATGGAGGTGGAACTGCATGCGGACCCTGCCACTGGGGCCCTCGGTGAGCCACCTCCTATGGGGCCACGAAACGTGTGAGGGGTGCGCCGAAATGGAGGTGGAATTGCATGCGGACCCTGCCACTGGAGCCTTCGGTGGAGCACTCTATGGAGGACACGCGAAGGGAAGAGGCAGGAAGGGGAGGAGGGAGGGGGAGGAGGAGGAGAGGGAACGCGGGGCACTGTCTCGTCAAAATGAAGACCCAACCCTACAGGATGGTTGGGGAAAATAGCTTTTTAGGACACGAGCCCGATGCATTAAAGCAAGACTGCCTCAGCCAGACAGCGTCCCAGACCCCAGACTTCTTGATTGTTTCACGACGTCGACCCCCAGAGGCTTCGACCTATTCTCTGGGACCGATGTTTCATCCGGAGGCGTTTTTTTGACGGTCCTGAGGGCCAGCAAGGGCTCCCAAAGGCCGAAAATGGCGAACAACCTCCCGTCGTGTTTTTTTCATTGCTCGAGGGGATCTGGGTTGCAAGGACGGTGCGTGCAAGCCACATTCGGCTCTCAGAGCCTCGATCGGTGGGCATCCGCCCCCCAGAATCCCACCCGAGCGGCCCTTCTGGGAAGC